AGAAAGAACGAAAGAAAAAAATTGTCTTTTCTGTGATATGTTCAATAGGTGTATGGAACAGATATATATGCACACACCCACATTTACACTCTCATGTAACGTATGCTGATTTTCTTTTAACATGTTTCTTTTGAATTAAATGGAATTTATTTTTTTCATTTTTATTTTAAGAAGTTACTACATATCTTGTTAAATCGATTCTGCCTGTTCAGATCAATCATTTTCTGTCATCTCGTGAGGATCGTTATGTATATGAATGTATTAATGATGAGCAGCCAGCAATTCGTACATTAAGGCACCCCCCTCCAAAAAGTCACGTTTCTTCAAAATGATCGAAATTGAGATAACCTCACGGGGGTTTAACTCGTCAAATGCTCTTTCATAAATGATAAAAGCTTTTACTCAACACCTCTTTTTTCCGAAAATTCTGGAAAATTTTTATCACCCCCTATTCGAAAAATAAGCGGTTTTTACAAAAAAACCAAAGATCATTTTTCGTTTTTCATAGAACGTGGGTTCAACGACATATCTCCAGCGGAACTCTATCACAGTAAGAGATAAAGCAAATATTTTTTTTGTTTAAAAGCTTATGTGCAGGGCTAGCGATTCTCGTGGCCCTTTTTTTAAAATAAGCTTTTTTATTATCATAGAAGATAACATCTCTATCGGAGCAGCGCAATTTCTAGAGAGGTTTTTTGAGTCATTGAACTTTCGCTCTGGTTTTTCCTCCTAAAAAGTAAGACTTCCAAAAAAAAGAGCCACGAGAGTCGCTGCATTCACTGTAAAAAAAATTCGTAGAACAATAAACCCTATGAAAAGGGTTTATTATTCTACGAATTTTTTTTACAGTGTTCTGACTTGTTCTTTCAAACAAAAAAAAATTAAATGTCTAGAACGAAGACCCACAGAGAAAACTTGGAGATACTAAAGAGCTATTTTTGCCCCTTGTTTGGTGCATATTTCGGTTAAACATCGTGCTATAGGGCTGAAAATTTGACCATAGCCATGTCTCACCAGCCCGAACATATCCTGAAATTTTCATATCATTTGAATGTTCCTGGGCTGAGATCGATTTTTGAGGGGGATGGGGATGGCCTTAACTGAAACAAAACTTATATTATCTCAACATCAATGACCTAGTTTGATTGTGAATTGACTTGATAATTGCGTATTTTAATATTCAACTACAGTTTGGCGGAGACCACGTTTATCTACTGATGAACCTTCACCATTATTTACTTTCAATAAACCAAATGATTATTATGTACAATTGAAAAAAAATCTGTTGATAATACAACAACACACACGTGATAATATTATTCATCAACAACGACAATACAAGATGAATTATGATAAACAACGTCCAGATCCACATTATGAAATCAATGATCCAGTACTGATTAAAATTCATGGAATAAAGAAAAAATTAGAACCAAAATATTCGATTACACCAAAAATAATTATTAGGAAACAACATCCAATTTATTGGGTCAAAGATGAAAAAACACAGGTCCAATCCAGAGTACATGTTAATGATATTCGACCTATTCTTATTTTAAAATTAACATGATATATTATTGTTTAGTTATTTGCTAATGATCATTAAATGTTAATGTTATCTTATATTTATGGTGATTCGATGTTTGATCATCTTTGTTGTATGCGCAACGAATTAGTTGAACTAACATCGATTCATTATGCTTGTGAAAATATTGATATTTTAATTAGCGCACATTAATTATCAATATAATTATTATTTGCATATCGTTAGCATTAACAAATATTGGTTATTACAATACAAACAAATTGCACACAGGAAATCTTCTCTTTTGGAAGTGTTTCTGTTTTCAACAAACAAAGTTATTTATGTTTTAACTTTACACATATTACATATTTTATTAACATACTAAGGATATCTATGTATGCAATCTTGATAGGTTTATTTCTCAGGACGAATGATTAATTATATGATTTATTTGTTTACCTTATTTATATTATTCTTTTTCTCTCTTCACTTATTTTATATCAATTTGTTTAATCTTCTTTTATTTAGTCATTATAATGTTAGATAAATTTGTTCCATATTATTTATGTGATATTAACAATCCTCCAGCTCATCTTGATGACAATCAAAAATCGAATTGGATGCGTGTTGCAAAACAAGGCGAAGAAAAATTATCAATATCAACAACAATATCCA